GCTTCTTCATGCGGCTACAACGATACTCTAATTAGTAGCCGCCTTAATCGTGTGTGTAACTATAATTTTGGGCGGGCGTCATTGTAACTATATCTTTCTTCTTGCGCTTTGTCTTTCCCGCCCTCCTTCTCCTTCTTTTGCTGCACTTTTGGTAGCCGCGGTTTGCATGATCGGGTCGATGCGTGGAGAGTAGCTTCGTCCCCCACGCCTCGATAAGACCATGCAAATGCAGGCAAACTCCTCCCCCTTCCCCTCTCCTAAGTCCTTGTAATTCGGTGTTCTTCGCGCATGCATGCACGCAATAAATTCCGGCTGCGCGATTAGTTAGCTCTCTTAACCCGTTGTTGGAAGCTCGGGGTTGCTCGATCAGGAAGGGTCGGCACACGAGTGAAGTAAAAGGTGAGCAGAGTAGGAGTCGGGCGACACGACGAGCTGGTGCCAAACGCGCGGGGTTGACGCGGGCCACGACAGACTGTGGGCGCGGGCGAACGTAACGGGTGCAGGAGGACTAAGCGGGGTGACGGCTTCGTGGGTTGGGGCGCGAGGACGGACTGTCCGCATTGGAGAGGAAGAGAGAGAGGAAGAGACAATTGAGGTCGATGGATGCGGAGTTGCTGTTTCTTTCGTCTCTTCTCCCCCCTGTCTTGTGTATATAAGTTTTGAATACGGTTCCGGGCGATCCGCCTGTTTTTGTTTCCCTTTCTGTCTTTCGAGACCCGGACTTTGATTTTTGTGCTCGCATTTATCTTTGCGATTTCCATGGAGGCCGAGTTTCGATTGTTTTTTATCTTTGTCCTTGCCCATGAGTCATTGTATGTATGATTACTGCGGATGCGAATGTATGAAGGTTATGCTTGCTTGCTTGCCTTTTACGGGAAATCTCTTGTCTTTTCTTTTGTCCGTCGTGTTCTATGCACCCGCGCATAGACTAGGAATTTTGCGCAATTGATGATTCTGTCCGGGTGCGTGCTGTCTGTGGATCGAGTTGTTTCGTGAGCAGTGCATCTTGCATAACTCAGGACCTCACGAAGTGATTAGGCGGTCGGGCGCCGGGCTCGGTGAAGTCGCGCGGGGACACGTGTAGAACGCGATCGGAGATTGCGCACTTACACGTATTCTCGGGCGTCGACTCATCGGGGCCCTCAATCTGTCCGAGTGAGAGTGGCCGATTTGAAATCCGCAACGGCGCAATCGTCCCGCAGGAGCACGTGTAAGTCCGATGCTATTCGCACGGCCTGCACGTGCTCGCACGCGGTGACCGTGATCGCCGCGAACCCGTCCTTAGGCAGCCCAGAATACTGCAATGACATGATGACGCGATCTTGGAACTCTGACTCATCCTACAACCCGGATTATTTCACCACATGGATAAACGAAATCCTGAGGCAGCGATACCCCTGCCACACTGAGAATCGACTATGTCCTCGGGAATTCCACTGCGCCACCTCTAGCAACCCCCGGTGCTCTGATTTCCCTTCTCCCGATCATACCTACTACTTTATCCACCCAGGATTTGTCGTCATCACTACCAGTTTCCCTCCCTTTCGCCTTCTTCTTCCATATCATCAACTCAGCGTCGTTCCGTGGCCGGCCATAGCCCCCTACAGGCCCAGCACACCCTGCGAAAACTGTCGACGACGCGGTGATCAGAGAACCCCTGAGTTCAGAAGGCCTGACCCGCACGCACGACGATCAGCGCCACGTGGCAACTCCCGACAGACGGACCCATCGGAACCCCACCTACCCCGAAGGGACCAACCCCCGAACCGCCGTCCCCGAAACCAATGGCTTGCTCGGTCTTGAGCGAACCACACGTATCATCTGCCGTGTAACCCGAAGGCGCACTTTTTGGCCAAATTGCACTCGTGCCCCCGAAAGACCCTGTCACAGGAGATCTCAGTTCTGACCAGGGACTCTACTTTCCCAAAAATCCTTGGCACACCCCTTTTCGCACTTCCAGGCCCACATCCCACTCCGATCAGGAAGTCGCGCTGGGCGTGAGGTTGGGCGTCACAGCCCGACAGAGCAGCAACTAGTAGTCGTGGGGAGCCTGGTTGCCGTGACGAGATTTGCCACCTTGCACCCTTGGACCTCTGTAGGAACTGCCATCTCCCAGGCACCCTAGATCTCAATGGGTACAACCCAAGTTTGCTCTCTTGACAGCTAAATGCTATTCAGTTGTGCCATAGTAGGTCAGCAACGTTCCCACAACTATTAGGTCTCCCACCACCTCCAATAGTTCCATTGCCTTCTACGAACAACCCCTGACCTTCGACATTTACCTACCAACCTTAAGCCGAGAACCTGCAGTGAAGATTCCTTGAAATAGCCTCTAGATTAGGTAAGATTCGGTGAGATAAACGTTACACTCAATTTTGGAACTACTATGTTATACTAAGGCTCTGATATGGGAATAGGGATGGAGGGTTGCCTGAATCCAGCCTTACGACCCAATCCAGAGTATGAGCGAAGTACTGCACTACACGAGGTTTTGCATAAAAGAAAACAAAGGAAGAGTGCTCCAAACGAAACATACGCCCAGATACGGAATACTAATGAGTAAATACAATCAAGATTGCTGCCAGTGACACCAAAGCACACAGCAGGAGGAGCTTGAAAGAGGGTGACAGTATTTCCAGATATTATCGTGCATGATAGTCATGAAGTAAGCCACTCATAAGGAGTAAAAAATTATGGCTGGGTTAATGCACTCTAAATATTTCGTGCTAGAGAGTGGCTTAGTTAACACTCAGCGGCCTTAATTCCAACGGAGATGCTCCCACCGCCACCAGAGGAACTCCCACTCCCATTGGTGGCGCCGCTGCCCGTAGAGCTTCAGGTCTTCACGCTCCCAGTAGAGATAGTCAATAGTACTCATGTGCTCCTCCCAACACCAGTCCCACCACCACCGGCTGCCCACCCACTGCCTCCAGAGGTGCCGCTGTTGGATGTGCCCGCGACAACGTACTGGACTCACTCTCCCTTCCTCGTGTTCACACTGCACTCGTTACCTGACTCTTGTAGATTCTGTTGTAGTATGGCTGTTGTAAGAGGAGTTGGAATCGCCCCCTTTTCGGAGCTGAGGGCGATGGCCGAACCTAGAGATCATCCAGGAAAACATTGTTCCACCCCACACCCCGAATCCCAAACTCGCTGCCGACGCAGAGCGCTGCCGTCTCCGGACAGCGAGTACGCCGGGTAGCGCAGCGCTTCACGGGGCTGCGTTCCACATTCGCTGAATTCTGGCCTTGAACCACCACTCACCAAATTCGAAAAGCCCGGAACCCAGAAAAAAAAAAAAGAAAAAAAAAAGGAAACCATGGCGGGCGTACCTGTCCTCGTTCTGTGCGGTAGTGCATTGACAATTTTAGACATTTCATGAGTGGTGGAAAATATAAAAAGACGGAAACTATGGCAGGTGTCTGTTTCCCGCGCTCGTTCTTGTCGGCCCTGCCCCACCACTCGTCCAATTCAAAACGGCAGGAACCATGGCGGCTATACGTGGCCTGGCTTCGCGCGGGAGAAAGCGTTGCTAAGGCCCTCGCTTCACTACTTGCTGTCATCGCAAAAGACAAAAACTCTGCCGGCGCTGAAGATTCATCCTCGTTTTCCGCCTTTCGTGGCCCCACTACTCGTCAAATTCAGGGCCCCACTACTCTGCCAGAGGCATCCAGATCCGGTCGCAATTACGGTCAGATACGTTTGGGAGAGTGGCAGTGCGAGTACGCCCTCAAAAGGGCAGGAACCCAAGAGCCTAGCTCAGTGGGTACACCCATGAACTGTTGAAATACAGACCTGTGTTCGAATCCAGATGCATTGGAACTTGATGAGTGAAACCAACTACTAATAAATTGCCTGGGGCCGGTGAGCTCAATGATAATATCTCAAGACCGTCGCCCTTTTTTTGTAAAAAACAAAACAAAACAAAACGGCAGGAACCATGGCGGAGGCCTGACCTTCTGCGCGGGAGAACGTGTTGCTGAGTTTCGCGCTCCACTACGCACCACCTTCACAAAAGACAAACACTATGGCGGTGTACATCTCCACGTTCCAGGGGAAGATGCATTCTCATTTTGCACGTTTCAGTGTTGTGTAGTGAAGCGAGGGCCCATGTTTTGCGGGCCAGCGACGCCGAGAGTTCCTTTCCCTCGGGAAAGGAATATCGGCCGTTTACGACCGCAGATCGAGGGCCTCGTCGCACTACTGGCCATCCGCCAACATTTTGATTGCATCTGGACTTATATCTATCCAGATGCATTCGAAATCTTGGCGGATGGCGACTAGTGCAGCGAGGCCCCAAGACCATGGGCTCCGCTCTGCTGGGCAAAACATTCGATACGTCTCTGGACTGCTCTGTCCACTAGGCGCATCCGTACTTACCACACATTTTGAACGTATTGACGATATCATCTGGTCCGGATACATGACGAATGTTGCGCAGTGCAGCTACGCCTCATCGCAATCGCAATCGCAATGTCGCTATTCGGGGAAAGTCCCACCAGCAGCGTCGAGTCTCCTCAACGCCTGAATCTGGACCTGTTTGTGGCAATTTGCGGTTGAGGAAATTTAACTCGATTTCTGCACATCTCCACAAACACGTTCAGATTCAGGCGTCGACGAAACTCAACGCTGCTAGTGGGACTTGGGCCCGGGTCGTCGGTCCGGCTTTCGCATTTTTCAGTCGCCATGTACAGGGCCTCGCTCCACATGCACAAACGACAAAAAAGTAGAGCGGTGTATTTCTCCGTGTTCTAGCGGACGATTCGTTCTCATTTTGCACATTTGGTGAGTAATGGAGCGACGCCCATAGGTCGATAGAGAGGCACATACCCCTTACATAAACCGGCAGACGGACGGGAACGGACATAAAAGGCCTTGCTATACTCTAGTAGCCTGCACTGTCGGATTTGTGAGCGAGCGTTATTTTATTTAGCCTGTACTGTCGGACATAAAGGGCCTTGCTATACTCTAGTAGCCTGCACTGTCGGATTTGTGAGCGAGCGTTATTTTATTTAGCCTGCACTGTCGGATTTGTGAGCGAGCGTTATTTTATTTATTCCGATTGCCGTTATTCCGGTTGTGCCGAGGGAGAGAGAGGAAGAGGGAGAGGAAGAGAGACATATATGAGACACACACACACACACACACACACACACACACACAGAGGGAGAGAGAGAGAGAGAGAGAGAGAGAGAGAGGAGGTGTTGTGAATGGTGTAATTTGAGAGCACAGTCGAAGTGGTGGGCGAGAGTGCAAGGGGAGAAAGACGAACTAGTGAAGTGTGTGTGGAAGAAGTGGGAAGATGGGAAGATTCAGGAAGGAGCGGCTAGTGGCGGCGGTGGTTGTCGTGGCTATGGTGGTGCTGTCATTGGCGAAGCCATCTGATGGGAGAAGCAGGAACAGACCAGGAGCTACTGCTGCTGCACACGGCGCGCAATCCAGAGCAGCAGAGTCAGCTCGTCGTTCTCTCGCGGCTTCCTCCGCCGCTGAGATCGCCCTGGCCAAAGCCATCACCGAGTCTAACGGCAAGGGGAAGGGGAAGGTGATCGTGTTGAAGACCGATGTTATCCTGACTAAAGCTCTCCCAGTCATTCCCTACCAAGGCCAACTCGTGATACGCGGCGAGTGCGGCAAACGGAAGTGCGTCATCGACGGTGCCAAGAAGTTCGGTATCTTTGTAACTTACACCCCAGGCTGTTTGATCAAACTAGAGAATCTAGAGATCAGGCAAGCGAAGGATGGAGCTGTGAGCGGCAAGTGCAATGTAGTCATCAAGAACTGCTTGTTTCGGGCGAACAGAGGAGCCCCCGTCGTTGCTCTCGGGATTGGCGATCCGACGTTCGACATATCGAACACAGTATTCATCGACAATCAGTCCAACTCCTCTTGCGGCGCGCTCTGTAGCAACTCGCGCGGCGGCGGCAAACTGCAGAACTGCTCATTTATCCGCAATACCGCTAACGACGACGGCGGCGCAGTGTATCTATGGGGGGTCGGAGAGAAGCCTCTCATGATTACCAATTGTCTGTTCGAAAGCAACAGCGCGCTTCGAGGCTCCGGAGGGGCTATGTTCATTGAACCGAATGGTATCGAGAATTGGGCGGATGTGTACGTGATGGAGACGAAGTTCAAGGGCAATCAAGCAAAGACGATGGGTGGCGCAGTCACTCTCGTGTCCGATCTGAAAGCGCATTTCTGCGGCGGGGTAATGTCAGGTAACAAGGCCTTGAGCGGGAAAGGCAACGATCTCGCTCTGGTTTCTGGTGGGCCGCTTCCTGTCTTTGTAAATTTCTGCCCCTACCCGCCGAAGCTCAGTGTCTATGGCGTTCCTAGTATCAGGCAGCATGCCGTCGTGGACAGCTGCCGCCTTTGCGGCGGCCCCGAGAGCTTCCCGTTTAACTGACCGCAATTGCGCTCAGATACATCCGTTGGAGTACTAACTCGTAATAGTAGGAGCTTCTTCGACTCAGCTCTGACCGCAATTGCGCTCAGACATCCGTCCCTATTCGTGATTGTGGCCAGATTCGTTCGATGATCGGGAAGTGCTCCTGTGAGTACAATGCTCTGAAGCAAGCGGGCAAGCTTTCAATCGCGATCCATGTCGACGATGGATGTGGTCCATTTTAGACTCTAGAGTTCGGAATCTTCCGTTCGCAACCTGGTCAAGTTCTTCGTCAGGATCCTGACCTCGATCCTGGTCAGGGTGTCATCCTTCGTGACGGGGTTTACCGTCCAGCTTGTTCGTTTAATCTCTCTCTCTCCTCAGTAGTGAGTTGTATTTCGTCTCTCTGTTCCAAGACGTACTATAGTGTTCAATTTCAGTAAACATGGTGTGAAATTCCTGAATTGCGCTGGTTTCTATAACTTTCTTCGTTACTTTTCAGATTGGTTTGGATTCAATTTGAGTAGACATGGTGTGAAATTCCTGAATTCTCCTGAATTGCGCTGGTTTCTATAATTTTCTTTGTTACTTTTCAGATTCGTTTGGATAGTAAATGCTATCTTATTTTGAAGCTTTAATTCATTGCGACATCGGTGGATCGGGCGATCCGACTAATCAGCAGGAAGATCGTATCGGGGGTTCAAGAGTCAGTATGGCGATCCCGACTCGCCGCTGTCGTCGTCTGAGTTGGCGCCACTGTGTTCAAGCGTACGTGTTGTCAGATTTGTTCCGCTTTGCGTCGTAGATCCGATGTCTCTCTCTGATATCATCTTGTCGTCTCCGCGCGGCGCTCTGCAATCATCATGTTGTCTCCGTGCGCGTATCCGACAGAGAAAGAGGGAGGGGAAGATCCATCTCTCCTCGATCATATCGACAATCTGTCTGCGTTAATTGCCTAGTTTTTACTTCTCCTGTTCTCTTTGTGTGTGTGTGTGAACGCGTGTATGGTTGCGTGTGTGTGTGAGAGAGAGAGAGAGAGAGAGAGAGAGAGAGAGAGAGAGAGAGAGAGAGAGAGATTGTGTGTGTGTGTGTGAATGCGTGTGTTTGTGTGTGTTGGGGGAGGGAGAGATATATATATATATATATATATATATATATATATAGAGAGAGAGAGAGAGAGAGAGAGAGAGAGAGAGAGGAGAATTTCTTTGTTATTGGAGGTACTGCTATTCATTTGTCACGGCACTGTTCAGTGGTTATAATGGACAGGGACGTGCCTCGTTAACGCGAAGACAGCACAGTTCGGAAAGTGGGAGTGGGAGCGAAATCCATGTCCGTTTTTGCTTTCGGGTTTCGCTGTTTCGATGCAAATGAATGTTGTGCTTTTACACTGGTGAGTGGGTTAACTTACTGCCAGCACGAGCGGGTGCGATAGGAATTTAGTCTATTTATCGTCTCGGGTTCACTTTTTTTCTGGACTGGAAGTCGATTTTAGTACTCGAACGCCTCGGTAAGGGGATGTGATGAAGTGAAGAAGGCTACTAAGCTATGACGACTACAGCCAGCTAGTCCTACGACCTATGTAGGGGTTCACTAGATGAATTAGTCTATTTATCGTCTCGGATTGCACTTCGTTTCTGGGCTGAGAGTCGATTGTAGTACTCGAACGCTTCGGTAAGTGGGTGTGATGAAGTGAATAAAGCTATTAAGCTATGACGACTACTGCCAGCTAGTTCTGCGACGTAGGGGTTCATTTACGTATGTATATGTATATATATATTGACATTTGAAGAAACGCGATCATCATTTTTTTTTATATTTTTGAATTTACCGTTACGGACTTGACGCTTGTTTAATATGAATTTTACCTCATGTTAAGGGTGGTCGATTTATTTTCGTTCGGTTAGGTTTTGCTGGTGCCCTGCTGGTCGTTTCTTAATGATTCGCGCCTTCTTGAGCGGTGCATATATTTGCTTTTTTTTTTTGTTTGTTTGTTTTTTGCTGTTGAAAGTGCGCCAAGACTAGCGTCGATATCATCATCGAAATGAGGGGTCCCATGTAATCCGGAATTATTTTGTTTCTGTTCTTGTGGCTGCAACTAGACTCGATCTCAGGCGTGTTATTTCAACAGTTCCTGGGTTTAGTAACTGACCTGTGTCAGTTCTGCTGCGTAAGAGGTGAAGGGAACTTGGGAGGTTGCTTTGTCTATTATACTGTTTTTAGGGTCTCGCTTCACTACTCACCGAATGCGCGAAAAAAAGAAGGGAAAAAAGAAAAAAAATACTCTTCCCGGAGAACGTGCCATACTTTGTCTTTTGTGCATCTGCTGAGTAGTGGAGGTCGTTTGTCTTTTTGTCTTTTGAGAAAAGAGCGGTTGTAATTCTGAGGCGATGAACTGAACATTTTGCGTCGGTGTTGGCGTTGTTTAGTATCGACTTTGCGTGAGATGTGAGTGAAAACCAGGTTTTGCACGAGCCGTTGTCGTTTTTTTTTATTATTTTTATGCCTTGGCAATTCTTGGTTGAGCTGCGTGAGAGGTGTAGAAGAGCGTATAAGTTTCTTGGTCAAAGTTTTTTGCTTGTTATTGTCTGAGAGAGATTTAGTGAAGATCTGTTTTCCTTCTCCACAGTAATCAAGATTACTAGAATCTGGATTATTCTGTTTTAATTGCGTCCAAACCCCAACGGCACTTTTTCAGATGTATCTGACTGCATTTACACCCAGATTTTGATGCATCTGACGGCAATTACGTCCAGAGCTAAGAAGAGTGAGTCCTGGTGTGAGTATGAACCCCCGACTCGTTCAGAATAACAAACAACGCTGAGTGAGTGCGATTATCAATGCGGTTGATAACAGGGAAACAGAGCTGGCATGTGCGCGATTGTTTTTTTCTGTTCGTTTTTTTTGGAAGGGTGAGAGGGTGGAGGTATAGCCAGCTAACCGACAGGATCTATTATTTTCTTTTTTCTTTTTTTTTCGGAGTTATTTGTACCACTTTTTTTTTTTTTTTTAATGTGGCCCGATGGACCACGGATGAGATATTAAACTGATCAGAACAGTTACTACACTTGATCTTAGCGAGAAGGCCGAGAAAGGTATTTTTTGTACCACTTTCATTAATTGCACGTCTGTTATGTCAAAAAAACAATGTCGGAGTCATAAGATTAAAAACTGTTCGTTTTATGTTCTGTTTCAATTCCTTACAGAATTTCGATCTGAGCCGTTGCACAAGTTTAGGTAGAACGTGTGGCCGTTATAGATGCATTTGGTCAAACTTTGAGTCAAGATACAGCAATAATGACCGTACGTTCTATTCGGCTAAATACTGTAGGCCAGTAGGTACACCCACGAACTGCTGAAATACGGATCACTACGGTGGTATGTGGAGTACCGTGTGTTGTGGCGGCTGTCGGACGCCCGGGCGACATGCGTGCGGCGACGTTATACCACCGATAAATATGAAAACAAAAATGCCGCCTGTGCCTATTGTCAATACTATGTTGTATACCTTTCTCGGCCTTTTGGCTAAGATCAAGTGTAGCATCTGTTCTTATCAGTTTAATATCTGATCCGTGGTCCATCGGGCCACATGATATTAAATTAATTTTTCAGGGCTACGGAGGGGTCATATGGGTTGGCTTGCCTGCTCGACCCCTCCAGCGTTGCCTTCGTCTTGCACTGCAGCGAAGCGTGGCGCGGCCCACACACACACAAAAAAAAAAAAAAAGAAAGAAAAAGAACCTACGTTGTCCATTCCACCTGGACCCTTTTTCCAGTAGGTGCTGCTCCCAACCAATAGATGGAGCCATCCCGAGATTAAAAAAAAACAAAAAAAAAAAGAAGGGGTGACGGGTGGTCAGCTGTCAGTGTCGGGATGCACGGACTATACAGCACCTCAAATGACGTGTGCGTGTGAAGGCGGCTGAATCGTTGAGTAGTGACCGTGGGAAGGTACACCACCTCAAATGACGGGCATTAGGAGCAATGGCGATAGGCCATTTCCTGACGTCCAAATGGAACTGGGGTTTAGGGGTTCGTAAGGGCCTGTCTCGTGTCCATGGGTAGGTCATGAGTTTAGTTTAGACGGGCTTCAACTTTTCGCTTATCATGTTTGGGGGCGATGGGGTGGGGGGGGGGTGTGTACGGTGTTGTTAGCGGCCATTTCGTGCGTTTAGGGGCTGTAGGGAAGGCAGACGGGGATTATCGCCACCCTTGGCTGTCAGGGTCCCTGCGACAGCCTGTCCGGAGGGCTCTTTCACGCATAGGCCACCACCAAAAGGTGACTGCGAAGCTGTGAAAACCATCACCAAAAAACGTGGGATGGGATGAATCTACTGCACGTTCGGGACGCCCAGAGGACCACCGCAAAAGTAAGGAAAACTGAACCGGCCAATGGGGGGCCGCAAAACAGCATATATATATATCCCCGCACCTCAATACAACAAAACACAAACCGCCGATCGCCATATTCGGATCAACCGAGGTTGCGAGTCCAGCCTCGCCACTAATCCACATACCTCCGGAGTTTGATCTCCCTCCAGATGCAACCAGGGGCGAGGTCCCACTAGCAACATGGATTGGATTGAACGCCCGAATTTAGACGTGCTCCTGGAAGAGTGCAGAAATTCGAGATTGAACAGATTTTCTGCATCTCTGCTTAAAACACGTCCAGATTCAGGAGCTTAATCCATTCCTCTTTGCTGCTGGGACCTAGGCCCAGGGGAACAGAAAAAAGTCATTCTGAATTGAAAAAACAGAGTTTAATCCAACAGCCTAGCTTAGTGGGTATACCCATGAACTGTTGAAATACAGACCAGGTGGTGTTCGAATCCAGATGATGGAACTTGACGAGTAAAACCAACTGCTAGTGAATTGTTTGGGGCCGGTCAGCTCAATGATAATATTTGAAGGACGTAGCCCTTTTTTTTTTTTTTTTTTTTTTTTTTAAAACAGTTTTTTTTTTTTTTTTAAGAATACCAATTTTGGGCCCCGGCCCAAGGAACCAAGGGCGGTCGGTGCCATTTGGGGTCATTCACCATTGCGCTGATCCCTTTGGGAGATGGGTGTGGGTGAGAATCATGGTGGGACAAAAGCAGTGGGCAATCTTTAACGTTTTTGCCCCTACCTCAGAATCAGAGAGAGTGGACCTGTTTAGATTGCTACCATGGATGATACCCAGAATAGATAACCTTAAAATGTGGGGGGGATTGAACACAATCCTTGTTCGGGGAGTGGATTCAATGCGACCGGGACCTGCTGGAAAAGACTCCATTCAGCTGACGGATTTCACTTACTCCAATGGCTTTTCTGATTTGTTCCGTGTGTTACACCCGTTTGAAAAAGGTTTCACTTTTTTCTCGGCAGGGGCCCCGCAGCAGCAATATTTGCCCCGTAGCCGTATTGATCTGTTTTCTGCAGCAGACGCTTTGCTCCCTAGACTCTCGAGATGTTTCGTTGTACCATACATAGGATCAGACCACTCGCCTCTATTTTTGGAATTTCCTCTCCACCTTACTGTCAGAGTAGGTAGGGATAGGATTTTGCTTTACCGGAATGGGTAGTGCAGATGGCGACTTTTTCACAGTTTATGTATGAATTTTGGCCTAAATGGAAGACCGCCAAAAGCTTGTTTCCTTCCCTGGCAGACTGGTTCTAGGGAGGGCAGAGAATAGTTCTGCACAGAGGACTGTTGAGTAAGAAGTCGATTCTTCTTGCCTATCTATCGGTCAGAGCTGCAGAAAATAAATGATGAACTGGCAGTATTCATGTGCCAAGCGACGACAGCAACTCAGTTGCGAGAGGAACACGTCTTAATTGCCCGGATGGATGAGCTCAGACAGCGCTGGACACTGCGAACCCGGCCAGCGATGAGGAACGTGGTCCACAACAGAAGGATTGGTTGGTTAGTGAAGGGTGATCGCATGACTTTTTCCTTTTTGGCTGCTCATCGCCCGCCGCTTCAATTGCAGATGATATCAGCCATAAAGCACCCATTTCATGATTCAGCGCCGATGGCCGTCGAAACACAAACAATCGTCACTAATATTTCCTTATTTTATGAAAGTCTGTTGACCTCGCAAGCGCAATATACAGAGCAACAATTACTCCAGCAGTTTCATGAAGAGGTTTGGTCCAAAGTTGGCAACAAATTGTCAAACCATCAATGGCAATTGCTGGAAGCAGATTGTCATGCAGGAGCTTGTCGATGCGGTGTCATCCTTGTCACGTCATAAAGCGCCGGGGTTTGATGGCCTACCGACCCAGTTTAAGCCTGACTTGGTGCTGATCTGTCAGGCTGTATGGAATGGGGCATCATTACAGGTCTCTGCACTGCAAGGGATCATTACCTTTGCTTTTAAAAGAGGTGATCGAACTGATATAGCGAACTATAGACCAATAACGCTTATGCCGGTACTCTATAAAATATTTTCCAAAATATTGACAGCTAGACTGCAGAAAGTTCTCCCATCCCTTATTCACCAAAAACAGTCAGGCTTCCTTCAAGGGAGAAAGATCCTACATAATGTGATGATTGTGGAACAATTGGCTGAACTAGTAGCAGCGGGGGAGGAAAGCTTTGACATAGTTTTGTTTGATTTGGCAAAGGCCTACGATCGGGTGGGTTGATAATTTTTACATCAGCTCCGATCCGGCTAAGTCGCTCGGTCAGACAGGGGTGTTCGGTGCCACCGTACCTCTATCAGCTGTATGTCGAAATAATGCGTATTCTAATTTAATCTAATCGGGAAATCCCAGGTTTTGTTCTCCCGTATGGAGAAAGATTGAAATCAGAAGCGTTTGTAGACGATTCGGTAGTGTTTTCCCCCTTGAATGATCAGACATTTTTTGCACTTAGAGAAACAATAGACCTATTTTGTCCGTTGTCACAAGCCAAGGTTAATTGGTCCAAATCCTTTGTCCTAATACCCCCGGGGGAACTGCCTCCACATAACTGGG